GGGGTAGTCCGTAGCCATGCCGATGCGTGCCGCCCATAAGGCGTGTCGGCATGGCCGTTAGCTCCTCCCCCTCCGGCGTAATGGGCAGATAGTGCTTGTATAGGAGTATATAGGCAAAAAATTAAAAAATAAAATAACAAGGTTAAAAAATGAAAAAATGAAATAAAGGGATATCACGTAGTAATCATAAACATAATTGTGTATCATTAAACTTTTATGTTATGAATATGATTAATAATTGTTAAAGTGCATAGGTGCTTATAAAGTGATGGGTGTTCTTAAAGGGATAGTAATAAATGAAATCATATTAAGATGGATATCCTTTTGGATATATTGAGTCTACGAGGGATATAAGTTATGTATTCTTTAAGTGGTATTCACAGTTGATATAGAATTAAAACATAGATAATGTGCCACTGGGTGGGGGGGTGATATATATGTACATATGTAAATAATATATCATATATATATATATATATATATATATATATATATATATATATACTATATCTGCAATAGTGTATACATATATATAAGAAATGGTGGAACCTAATGAAATATATGTGTTTAGATAAAATGGCAGAGTTTGAAGTCTATATTCAAACCCTGTGGTTTTAAAGTCCAATGGTTGAATATCCACCTCATCTCACTCTGTCCCAATAACTTGGCAAAATCCCCTCCTCGCCAATTGCCCTTAACTTTATGTATACCCATAAATTTCAGTCGTATGGGGTCGCTATTGTGCGCTAAGGAAAAACGGTGTGATACACCATGTCCCTCAAACTTTTTTTTGATGTTTCTGATATGTTCTTCAATCCTAGTGTGTAAATTTTGTTTGGTGCGTCCCACATATTTTAAACCACATGGACATTCTAATAGATATATTATATTGTTTGAATGGCAGGTTATAAGGTCTTTAATAATGAATTCTTCATTATTATTAAAATTCTTAAATTTTTTAATGTGTCTTTTTTTATTATTTGAGTTCCTCCACGCTAAGCATGTGCCACATCCATAAAAGCCCTTTCCTTTATCTAGGAAGGTGGTGGTTTTTGTTTTTTTAATATGGTTCTTTACCAAGAGTCTACTTAAGTTAGCAGCACCCCTGAACACTTTTTGGGGTTTTGCTGGTAAGATTTGAGATAGTGCATGGTCTTGTAGTAGGATGGGCCAATGTTTATTTAGAATTTTCTTTAATGCCTTATTATTGTGGCTATAGTTGCATATGATGGGTAGATTGGCTTCTCCTTCGTTTTGTGTTTTATTATTTTCTTGTAATAAGGTGCTTTGTGGGATCTTTAAAACTTGTGTATAAGTGTCTTGTAGTTTTTCCTTTTTATAGCCCTTATCCAACAGATCGGTAATACATTTGTCAGCTTGTTCCTTAAAATTCTCCTCATCTGTACAATTTCTTTTAATTCGTATGAGTTGTGACTTGGGTACACTATTTAGCCATGGTGAAAAATGGCAACTGGAAGTATGGATAAAACTATTAACGTCCACATCCTTAAAATGGGTTTTGTTTTTTATCTTTTCATTAGCTATAAAAATGTCTAAATCTAAAAATGTGACCGTTTGTTTACTAAAATTCGTTGTTAAGATGATGCCCCATTCATTATTGTTTAATTGATTTTAAAAGGTGTGTAATGTATCCTCTGTGCCTTTCCAAATAAAAAACAGGTCATCTATGCAGCGGCAATAGGTCACCAGGCCCTCCACCCAGCTCCCATTGAGTTGTAGATACTGGCGTTCCCAGTCTGCCATTAACAGATTGGCGTAGCTGGGTGCGAACCTGGTGCCCATTGTCGTCCCACATGCCTGCAAATAAAAAGTGTCATCATACCAGAAGTAATTGCTGGTTAAAATTAATTGTATTGCTTCCATAATAAAATTGATTTGTTCTAGTTCAAATGAATGGGATTGCTCTAAAAAGAATCTCACTGCTGCACAGCTCTTCTGATGTGAACTAATAGTGTATAGAGAACTGACATCCGCAGTTACCAAATAATAGTCCTGTTCCCATTTGATGGTTTGTAGGTGTCTCAGAATACTTCCTGTATCTTTAAGGTAACTAGGGATGCCTCGTACTATAGGTTGAAGGCACTTGTCCACATATTCTGAGAGTCTACATGATATAGAGTTGATGCCTTAGACTAGGGGTCTTCCAGGTGGGAGTTCAGGATGTTTGTGTACTTTGGGAATCTTTGGGTGTGTTACATTGAGGTATTCAAACTCTTTTTTGTTTAAAATCTCCTTATTTAGACCCCTATTGATGAGATCATAGAATTTGTTTTTGATTACACTTGTTGGATCACTTTTTAATCTTGTGTAAGTGGTTTGGTCTTTCAATAGCCTGATGCACTCTGTATGATAGTCTTTAATGTCTAAAATGACTATTCCCTCTCCCTTGTCCGCCGGTTTAATTACGATATCATTATCCTTCTGTAGTTTTTTTTAAAACTTTATATTCTTCTCTTTTAAGGTTTTGTTGGTAGTGGTTAGCTTTTTTAAATTTATTAATGTCTGCCATCACCATTTTCTCGTAGGTAGCCATTTCCCCTGAGATAAAGTGTTTGGGGAAAAAAAGTAGATTTTTCCTTTAATGTGGTGTGTGTATATTTTGTCGTGATTAGACTATTTGTTATTGGATTTTTTTGGAAAAATTTTTTCAAACATAAAGTACGTTTGAATTTGTTCAGGTCCACATAGGTGTTGAATTTGTTTAGATCGCTTGTGGGTGCAAATTTTAAACCCTTTTGTAGTAATTTAATTTGTGTACAATTCAGTCTAGTGGAAGTAAGGTTGAAAATGCCTGCTTCCTTTTCAATCTCCTTTTGAGTTTTTATGAGTTGCATTTGTCTCTTTTTCCTCCTCTGTATGTCCACTCCTCCTCTAATTCTCCTTCTTCCGTACTCCGTCGTCTTTTGTTTGGTGACTTTTGGCGTGAGAGGAATTTATGTTTGTCTTTGTTCCTCAGACTCCAAAAATCCTCTTCTGAGGTTTTTGTAAGGGGTTCAAATCTATTTTGAGTGGGGATATCGGATATTCTCCTAGGATTGTATCTGAATTTACTTTGGGCTGTGAGGAATTCATCTGATTTGGCTCTTTTTTCTGTCTGGGTGGGAGTTCTCATATTAGGTGTATTGGTCCTAAGATGGGGTCTTATAAATGGCTTAGGTTCTATTTTTTCACTAGGTTTCCTCTTATGATAGTCCCTGAGTGGACTTTCCCTTTGTCTATAGTTGGTACCTATGTGACGTGTATGATAGTGGTTGTGCATGTGTTGATCATAGGTGTTGTGATATGTGTTGTGGTTATTCGGTTTATTGCTTTTTCCAAAAGTTCTGACTTCATTACGTCTGTAATCATTTTTATCTCGTATGTATTTTCTCTTTTTTTATTTGTATTGTTTCTTGTTCCATGTTGAATTTTGTCCGTAATTCTCTTATATTCTTCTGCATTTGTGTGGTTTATGAGGAAGTTTTGTTCCTTATTGATTTCTGTATCTAATTTGTCTAGAGTGAGTTTTCTCTTATCTAGAATCTTTTGCATCATAATAAAAGAGAAGGAATCAAGCATAGTGGCCCAATCGTCCATAAATGTTTTGTCTTCCTGATCAAATGATGGAAATTTTAAAAATCTAAGGCCTCTAGGGGTGATTTTTTCACGAATATATTTTTCCAGAGTTGCAATTTCCCATTTAATTCTAGTTTCCTTACTTAATGTTCTTTCAAGTATTCTTTGACAATCTGATATGGATTTTTCTTCTATTCTATCTTTTTGGTTGAAGACAAATTCTTCTTCACCAAATAATTCATCTATATTGGTACACTATTTTTGTCTTTGAGAATTACTCCAAGTCGAAGTAGAAGGGTGGTGCCACCATAATAAGCACACAAGCCTTGATACAGAGCCAGTGTTTCTACATACAGGCTCCTTGAAATGTGAGTGCACAATTCATTACGATATCATTATAACTATTGCATTGCCACTTTAACCCCTTAAGGACACATGACGGAAATATTCCGTCAAAATTCCCTTTTATTCCAGAAGTTGTGTCCTTCAGAGGTTAAATTCCATCTGCACTATATTGTACTTTTTTTGTATTTTTCTCCATATGTACTCTTTACTGTACCATTGTACGAAATAACGTTTGGTAAGCTGTATATGTGTTTGAGCGCTCCACTTACAGGTGTAGGTCCTTGTTACTTACACCGCACTAAAATCTAAGATTCCTAAAGTATGCCCAGGCCAGTCTTATTTTATATCTGAAAGCACAGAACCAGTGCTGGGAACAAACACAAGGGGAATGTGCCATTTGTAAATTGTGTCCAACAAGCAAGAAAAATACCTTTAATCCAAGAGAAATGCCTACTAGCTTCTCTAGTCAGACAAGGACTATATCAATGACAGACAAAGAACATTTCCAGGAATGGTGGGGAAGTATGCCAAATAACGACTTTAATACTTTTACACATTGGTTTATGAGGGGAGCAAATAGAGCTAAAAAAGGAGGTCTTAACTGAGGAATGGACAGAACTGTTAGAATATGCTATGGGTCATTTGGCTAGTAGACTATTGGGATTTAACAACAGTGTTTCTGATCAGGCAGGAAGAATTTCTGCAACTAATTTCTATCTACTCAGCATAGAGAAAGAAATCCCAAGCTGTGGAGAGATTGCAGTGTCTTGTGCTTGGCAGTCCCGAAGCAATCAATCTCCAACTATTATAGAGGTGAGGTAAGCTTGGCTGAAACGTCCGGCGTGTGAAAAGACCTGAACTGTCCAATATGAAAGGGACATTTTGGTGGGGAATGGGCTATATTTTGTGGGAAGCTCCATGTGTATGGGAGAGGTAATCCAATCTTGATAAGGCGGTCCGGTTAAGAGGTAACCATGTCCGCAGTGTGTCCCAGTCTTGTTGGGACTCTCCGTATATGATTAAGTAGATGCTGCTGTAGTAGAAGAGGGGGTCTCCCCAGTATCTCTAGTGGCCTGTCCATGGCTGTTTCTCCTACGTTTGGAGGGGGTTTGCCACCATTGGTGTTTCAGCATTTGGGTGGTTTGGTCGTTCTGCAGGACTCCATATCAGTCAGGTATACTGACCTCAGGTAAATCTAATGCTACTGGTGAACATCTGTCTTGGAACGTTGACAGGGTATGAGATGAGCCATTATAGGTCGCAATAAAGGCAAAAGGGAATCCCCATCTATATTTGATGTTGCGTGAGCGGAGTTGGTCGGTTATAGGTCTCAATGTCGTCCTGGCCTGGAGTGTTGCCCATGAGAGGTCAGGATATATTTGTAGGGGGACATTGTGGAAGAGAGCGGTTGAGATGTTTGGCATAGATCCCTTAAAATATCCTCTTTTACCGTGAGGTAATGTAACCTACAAATGACATATCTCGGAGCTGCATTAGGGCCCCCCCTGTGTTTCAGTGCCCTGTGCGCGTGATCAAACAGTACCTAAGCTTCAGCTATTGAGGAGAAGGTTGAAGAGCTCCCTTAATGTCAATATCATCATGCTTTGATGAACATAATTTTTTCGATATTATCATGCTTTGATTTAAACCAAACGTTGCTTTCTAATGATGAACCACATTGCCATAATTTGATCCCTTATGCATGCTGTGTGATTTTGTCGAAATATGCCTATGTTCTAAGCTCCAGTATTTTTGAGCCCCTTCCAGGCTATGTTTATCAGATGTTTGATAATGCTTATGTCTAATTATGCATTCAATGGATGCCCAAACATGTTAGATTTTTCACCTACTAAAGCTCTATTTCACCATGCTGTAAAATGGTAGACCTCCACGTTACACATATGTTTAATTCTTTTGTATGTTCCAAAATATCGCCTCCAAAAGATTTGCTTTTTTCAATATTATCAGGTATTGACGGATGAAAAATAAAAAAAGAATTTAACACAATTTACTTGCTTTGCACAGCCCAGTTCTATCCTACATTGGCAGATGATTTGTTCTCATACCTCGTCCTAATTTGGTATATCGAAAGGATTTCCAGTTTGCTTGGCCTCCCTTATCAGAGATTAAAAAGGAGATTTACCCACCATTTTCCTTCTCCATGCAAAGCTCTTTGCTGACATCCTCCGCCTTAGCTGACATCATCAGAATTGATTATCTCAGCCAATACATTGCTTTCCCATTAGAAAGCACTCAATTGCATTCTACAAAGAACAAAGTAGAAGTATAGAGGGTGTTGTATTGAAAGTAGTCTACTTCTTCTCGAATTTAGATATGGTTCCACACAATAGGTTAATTTTAAAACTAAAAGAAATTGGTCTAGATACAAATTTGTGTTCTTGGTTATAACATTGGCCTAAAGATAAAGTGCAGAGCGTTTCATCAATAGCATATTTTTACCTAAACAAATTATCAATTCTGACGATCTCAGCCAAAGAGGCAGGATAGGGGGTGGAGGGCAATGCTTTTTCTTTGTTCTATTGTTATTCTCTATGCTGTTTTTTTTATTTTCTGTACATGCCGTGTATATTGTATTTAATACATGCAGTCTACTAGTATTTATGGCAAATGTGACTATTAATTTCTTGGGACAAGTAATCTATTGGGCAAACGTTTCATGAAAAACTCTACATGTCTGTTTCTTTCTCTCCCTTCTTTAATTTTTTTTTTTTTAACTTAAACATCAATTTAATGTTCCATCTCAGTGACTTTCCACTTCACCATTCTTGTAATATATTTGTTCATGTGGCTTTTATCGTCTTACATTTGTGTTTATTTTTTGTGCAATCTATAAAACAATAAATAATGTATTATAATAAAAATGTAATTATTGGGAAATGTAGTAAATAGAAATCTACTGAAATCCTTGTGGGTGAGCAACTGGGATAGTGACTATGAAGGATCATAGCTTTCAAGTAGCTGCACACTCTGATTGCCCCATATTATCACTTTCATTAATTGTATTCGTGGCATCTCATTCTTACAGGCCTACATAATATGTTGGTAATTTAATAATAATAATAAAAAATTAGATTAATTGCTTGTTTTGGAAAATATATAATTAGGCATACCTGTTTAACTTATATTGTATGTCAACATATATAATGAGACACTAAAGGCACCCAAACCATTTCATCTCAATGAAGCGGTCTGGTTCAGTGCTCCGGTCATTTTAGCCCTGCAATGTAAAATATTGCCATTTAGTAGATACCGTAATGTTTTCATTGCAGGGCTAAACATAGAAGACACTAGAAGTGCTTCCACTGGAAGAAGCAAGTTTTCACATGTCATCCTCTTTCTATGCTTCTCATAGAGAGCATTCAATTGGAGGAGCGTGGTGCTCACCATGCTTGCACTTCTTAGGCCCAATACTTCTCTAGAAGAAGCGCTGAATTAGACGAGTAGATGAAGAAGCAACGCCTGCAGAATGATGTCGCTGGGTGTGTGCTGCGGCACTGAGTGAGTCTTGGAGTTCGGAAAAAAGTAAGTAAAAACTTTTTTCCCATTTTTTAAAAAATATAATTTAGAGGGCCCTGAATCTACAGATGGAAGAGAACACAATATCATTAGAAACACGTTTGCATTAGCAGTGTTCCTTTTAAGAAAAAATGATACAGCTAACATATAATTTAATTCCATTATCTACGTCTTTCACCAGATTTTTTTTTTTTTTTATCTAGAAGTGTAAATACAGATATAACTGAGTCTTTCATCACCATATTTTATTTATTTTTTTGATACTTAAACCACAACTTCCCATAATTACTGTATAAAAGGACTAATTTTATGCTGAAAAGGAGACATCTGTGATTACGAGAAAATAACAAAAAGACCAAGAAGCTGCTGAGAAGGTCAGAATATTATTATTACTGAATAATACAGAAAAAAAATATATATAATTTATTGTTGTAACCGTTTATTTTTCTGTTTAGTATGTTTACATTTCTGTTGTTGCTGTGTTTGGTGGGGTCGATCTACACTCAGGAGTCTGGTAAGTTAAAAAACAAACTGAGGTAATTTTTGTAATGGTAAATGTTTTATTATTATTTTATTACTTTGCTTTTTATTGACTTAAAATTTGCCTTCAGGGGATAATGTTCAGGAAGACTATGAAATCCAAAATAATATAGAACCCATCCCTCTAAGTGATGCCACATCTGAAGACCATCTGGAGGATTCTCTGACTTCTGATAAAAACACAATTGGTGATAAATGTAAATCCTACAAATTTTATAACCATCATCTTACTTTTAGTGCTGCTCAGGTTGGTGTTTTCATTTGTTTGTGTTCATTTCACACATTTTCAGTGGATTGCTTTTTTATTTGCATCTATGTAAATATATATGCCTCTTGCCTGTGATTGGCTGAGGATGAGCTACTTTCAACTATAATCATGTGTCGCAAATATAACTTCGCTTTGTAGAGCTTCTGACGATGCCTGGATCACAAAACAAATCATTATTACTATTTTATTTTTAAACATTTGTACGCAGCAAATAACTATTGAAATTAAATTGATGTCTGCGGTTTAAGGGTACATAACCGGAATTAACTTGTCAGGGCATGATTATATCCTTGATTCACTCATTCATTAATTTTAGATATACCTAAAGTAGTGCCTAAATGATTGAAAGCTTAAAATAAGAAAGTTGTACGTTGCATCTTTGGATATAATGTGTCACTATTCTTACTCAATCCAATAAATTCTAATCCTGGGTATATCTCTATCAACATTGTGTTCCACAGGGAATCTGTAGACGGTATGGTGGGAATCTCTGTTCAATTCACAGTGCAAGGACCAACAGATGTGTTTCGAATCTGGTGAGGAGAGCAAACAAAAGTGTAACATTGGTCTGGATTGGTGTGAGGAACTATGGAGGAGTAAGTAAAATTTAATTCCATCTTTAACATATTAAAAATTATTTTAGCATAAGAGCATTTTTTTTTCTTTGTAACTGTTTGTTTCAAATACTATTGGAGATTATTAGAATTAATACTGTTTGTCCTGTGCAGAAAAATACTGACTTGTACTTGTTGCAATCCATTTTTTGCAATCGTTGCACAGTTTTTATGGACAGTGAGGGAAAAAAGTATTTGATCCCCTGCCGATTTTGAACGTTTGCCCACTGACAAAGAACCTGTCTCCCACTGTTAAAATACACCTACCATTAAAATTATAGACTGATCATTTCTTTGTCAATGGGCAAACGTTCAAAATCAACAGGGGATCAAAAACGTTTTTCCCTTACTGTACATGCTCTTCTCACTCCTACCAGATTTGCCCCAATTGGACTGCTCTAATTTGGTTCAAATATTGATTTAATTCAAATTAATTTTACTATATTGCTCATGTCAATATGTGTTATAGCTGTGTATTTATCAAATTAGTCCAAAAAAAATAATCAACATTTTCATAGCAGTTGTCATATTCCCAGAGACCTGGCATCAGTATATAGCTCACCAGCCAAGTCTATTAGCCTATCATATAATTTATCAGACCAGCACTTACAAACTCCTTTTACAGATTTATATATACATATGCTCGATCTCCTTAACAAACAATTAACTTAACACACGCTCACACTACGACAGAGGCACACTTATTTACATACACTTTTACACTAAATTACACACACAGACACACAGTAAATAACACACATACACACTCAATAATTTACACACAATCACACTAAATTGTTATCACACTTATTTACATACACTTTTACGATAAATTACACACACACACATACACACAGTAAATAACATACATACACACTCACTAATTTATAGTCACACTAAATATAAAACTTATTTACACACACACTCCCACTGAATTACATACATACACACACTAGTAGAGACTACTCTATATAGTACTGGATGTTCTAAAATTTATTTTTGCCCTTTTAGGCCATTAACTGTGAATACATTTTAGGAAAGAACAATTTTAGGTGTGCAGGTTGTATAATTTTTTTTGTTGCAATTCTTTTCAGAATTCTCCATTCAGAAATGTAGATGGCACTCGACTGGACTACACCAACTGGGGATGTGGGCTATCTTCCAGTATTAGTAGGTGCGCTGCCCTCAATATTCACAGTAAGTGTAAAAAGGTCTTGGCTGGTCTCTGTCGATTGAGTAATTACTGTCGTGGGTGTCATACACTCAGCTACCAAACACTGTTTATAATAAAATGGCCTGATTCTGAAAACGTGTATCATTTTTCTGCACTCATACAGTTATCACTTTGCTCTCTGTTAATGAAATATGAGTTGACCTTGTTATTCACACATTTGTGGACGACATGTACACTTTAAAAGTGATTTGTAATCATTGTGTCTCACACAGCATCACCAAAATCTTTTCCAAGTAGGATAACACTCTGTGATAGATTACAGAGAATACCAGGTGAAGGGTACACATGTATGGATCTTCTATCCACCTAGCTCTGGTGATATGTTTTTTTATAAGTTAAAGCACAAATTAAGAAAATTGATACATGCTGCAATATAATATGCTCTAATAGATACTGCAAAACCCCTTCTCCTAATATTTTTCTTTTTCTTTTTTATAGCTGGTCGATGGCATACTTTCCATTGTGGGATACGTCTTCCATTTGTTTGCAACTACTAGCAATTTGGTTAACCTGCAACCTGCAACACCTCTTTATGGGCATACCAGACCCAGCTTAATGTGCATTTTTAAACATATTTTCAATAAAGTTTGCAGCAAAATATGTATAATGTGCTTTGTGTGTCTTTGTGTGTATTGTATAATGTTGAGTATTTTAATTTCCATAACATCTTGAAAATGTTTTAACGTTGAGTATTTTAATTTTCATAACATCTTGAAAACAGGCACACATTAATCCTATTTCCCTTTTTACCTTAAAGGATCACTATAGTGTAAGGAAAAAAAGCGGTTTTCCTGACACTATAGTGCCCTGAGGGTGCCCACACCCTCAGGGTCTCCCTCCCGTGGTGCTGAAGGGGTTAAAACCCCTTCAGCCACTTACCTTAGTCCAGCGCCGGGCTCCCTCGGCGCTGGTGACCTCTCCTCCCCCGCCGACACCAGCTCTCAATGCTTTCCTATGGACGCTCTGCGCGATGGAGGCATAATATGCCTCCAGTATCACAGATGCGCCTCTAGTGGCTGTCCGGAAGACAGCCACTAGAGGCTGGCTTAACCCCAAATGTAAACATAGCAGTTTTGCAGTTTCTCTGAAACTGCTATGTTTGCATCTGAAGGGTTAAAACCTGAGGGACCTGGCACCCAGACCACTTCATTGAGCTGAAGTGGTCTGGGTGACAATAGTGTCTCTTTAAGTCCCTCCTAACCCTCTACTGCTGATAACCTTTAATACCCTGAACACTATACACTTGCAAATGTTTGTGAATAATATTTCTCACCTAAAGGCTAGTATTGAATCATGCAACTCATGATCAGCTACAGTGCAGAGTAAGCCACACCATTATATAACATGTTATAGAGGCTTGTTAATAACAAACGTATCAGCTGCTAAGCAATACTATTTGATTGTTTTATTATGAAGCATTTTATAGGTATGTATTACTTATAGCCATTCCAAAATATATATCCATGTACATTTAGCATTTAGTATTTGGGCTTTCCAAGTTCATTCTTGGGCATGATTGTTTTTTGTTTTTTTTAAAATCGGCCTTGAACAGAATTAATTGAATTGTAAAATTTGGGTAAATTAGGCAAGTTGGAAAAACAGCAGGTTTCTTTGACCTAAAATGTACAATTTACTTTTTGGTAGGACAATTCAGTGTTAGCCAGTAAATACTTGCCTGTATAGGGTTACTCCAACCAAAAAAAAGTGTTTTAATAAAACACTGGTTTTGGTTAATAAAACACTGGTTTTGGTCAGTGGCGTCTCTAGGATTCATTTTTAGGGGGGGCACATGGTGGGCCAGGGACTAAAGTAGGGGGGCACATTCAACCCCGCCCTCACCGCAGTTTGACCACGCCCCTGTCGTATGTTAAGCCCCGCCCCCGACACAATGTGTTTTTTGTTGTTTTTTTAATAATCCCTGGTGGAGAATTCATTATTTTCCACCAAGGATTATTAAAAAACAAACATTTCCCTTGATACAGTCCATACACACACACACAGACTGCTGAGTCCTTACACACAGAGACACACAGACTGCTGACCACACACACACAGAGACACAGACTGCTGAGTCCATACACACACAGAGACACACAGACTTCTGAGTTCACACACACAGACTGCTGAGTCCATACACACACATATACACAGACTGCTGAGTCCATACACACACAGACTGCCGAGTCCATACACAGACAGACTGCCGAGTCCATACACACAGACAGACTGCCGAGTCCATACACACAGACAGACTGCCGAGTCCATACACACAGACAGACTGCTGAGTCCATACACACACACTGCTGAGTCCATACACACACACTGCTGAGTCCATACACACACTCTGCTGAGTCCATACACACACTCTGCTGAGTCCATACACACACAGACACAAACACACAAGCTTCCTCACTAGCAGACAGACAGACACACACACACACACACACACACCTGAGCATATCAAGCCTACCTGTTGCTGGGGGTCAGACAGCCATCTTCTTGCCTTTCCAGCAGCAGCATGGTCTGCTTATGTGCGGGAGGCGGGGCTTGGTTTGGGGGCGAAGCCTTGCCGGGGAGCCTGTCAGTGCTCCCTCTGGCCACAGACACAACCCAGCACTGTTCCAGCTGAGCTCCTCTGCCCTGCATTCCCTCCCCCGGGCTGTAACACACTCACACTTTTACAGCCCGAGGGAATAGAATGTAAGAACATGGCCAGCAAGTTGCTGGCATTTGGGGGTCCAAGGGGGTCACATCATGATGTAGGGGGGGCCATGGCCCCCCTCTGGCCCAGCGACACCACTGGTTTTGGTTAGTAAAACACTGGTTTTGGTTAGCATAACCTTTTCTATCCTGTTCTGCTCCACTCAACCTAAAAAATAAAATAAAAATAAAAATACGAAAACCTCTGTTCAGGCCCTGGGAGTTAGCATAGCTAAGCATACAAGGGCACATGTATGAGTGTGGGTATGGATGCTTGTGATTGGTTGTGTATGTGGGTGTGGTTATGTGTTGAGTGAGTGGTGTGGGATCATCTTACCTCAGTGCCTTTTGGGATTCAGGCAAGCAAACAACTTCCTTCCCACCCTCCCTTTTCGTCACTCGTTGTGTCAAAGATAGCTGGGGGAGTGTCCTTGCCAGTCAGTTTAGGGGACTGTTACAGTGAGTGTGATGATGTGGAGAAGGTTCAGGTCTCAACCTTGAAATCACTGAAGTGGTCATGATGTTTGAAGCAACCTTTTAATTAAAATGTATACATTTTTATATTATAATTTAAGTAGTATTCAATCCAATTTTCCACTTTTGTATGCTTTACATAAAGGAGTGCTTTCACGCCCCATTCTTGTAAAAAGTCAAATGGCGTGAATGCCACTACCCGACTCCATTACCAATGCTGGACAGCCAGAATTTCATAAGCAGGAACTTCCCTTAACTCTTGTGAGCAAAGACCTGCAGCGTAGTAGATGCGTGGGGAGGCACCCAGTAAAAGTTAAAAACACTTAAAAATTGTTTAACTGGTTACAGTGGGGGTGAGAGGACATTCTGGCACCATAACCTTTACAACAAACTTATGGTAGAAACCAAACAAAAGAGTTGCTTGCACACTTCCCCAAATCCCTATGCATATTTAAATAACCGAAGGTTTTTAGTATCACTCCAATGGCCATTAGATGTACACATCAAGGCTGGTCCTACACTAACAATTCACCTTGCTTCCCTTAAAAAAAAAAATCTTTAATGAGAAATTAAGGGGTATTTTTCTAAACCCCTACATACTTTTTAACCCTTAATAGGGAAAGCATGGGGTTGGAAGCAGCATTGTAACATGGCTGTGTGATTCAAAAGCAAATGCAAATACACAAAAATAAGTCCTGCACGCAGACTCCCACTACTCCTGCATGGTAGTACTGACCACATTAGCCCCATACAAACATTAAAATGTAAGAAAAGAGTACACTATCCCAAATCCATGTGAATATTTAAATAACTGTAGTTCTGTAGGATCACTCTAATGGCAATTAGATTCAAGCCCAGAGACTTCTAGAGCTTACAGGAGAAACCTGTGTGTGATTAAAGTTCAATTTACAAAGCAGAAGGTAAAAACTTCTAAAGTAAATTAACATCTGATTGAAAATGAAACCATTCTTTTCAGACAGGCTGTGCCAGCCAGAGAGGTGTGGCTAGACAGAATCACAAGTGATTTTATACTCCTAAATCACAGAGAATTGAGCAGTGAGACTGGAACAACATAATCTATACATATAAACTGCTTCATTAAGCTAAAAAAAAAAAAAAAAAAAATTAAACCAAGAGTATTCCTTTAAGTACAAATTGCACGGTAAAACCTGAGATGTCTGACACTGTGTAATGTGCCATATCCACACAGGTCCACAAAGAGGTCCTATTTGCAAGGATTTGCTGTCCATCTGCTTATTATAGAACCCCTGATTCATATATACTATTTAATTAAAGAGTTCCTTTAACCCCTTAAGGACCAAACTTCTGGAATAAAAGGGAATCATGACATGTCACACATGTCGTGTCCTTAAGGGGTTATGTGAACTGTCAGTCTTAAAATGTAAGTACTCTTAACTTAAGTTCTCTCTTTAATCCAAAAGTGGATACAGCAAACAGGGAATTAAAGTGGGACAAAGGTTAAATTCTGCACAAGTTGCAAGGAGTAGAGGGGAGGATGTCACCTTTACAAAGATGGTCAATGCGATACAGTAAAAATCATCCAAGCTATTGTTTTATAAAGCCCTTTGAAAAGAATGTTTCAAGTAGGAAAATAAAGAGATTATCTGAAGATGTAATTCATTTTACTTTGGATATAAGTAGTGGATCTAAGATTATTATTGCTATTTTATTCTGCATTTAGTTTATTCCCTCTGTGGCTGCATATCTTTTTTTCTTTGTTCTATTGTTATTCTCTATATACTGTTACTTTTTGTTATGATTGTACGTTACTATTAATTTCTTGGAACAAAGAATCTATTGGGGAAACTTTTCATGTAAAACGCAACATGTTTGTTTCTCATTTCACCTTCTTTAGTTATTACCCTAAATATTATCCTATAATTCTATACAAACTAGAGGTCTCACTCATATTATTCAAATCCACTTCAAACAATATCTTCCATTTTCACTAAACAATTCCCACCCTAGTTTCTGCTTCTTTTATAACATGCTTTTCCATATACAGGGAGTGCAGAATTATTAGGCAAGTTGTATTTTTGAGGATTAATTTTATTATTGAACAACAACCATGTTCTCAATGAACCCAAAAAACTCATTAATATCAAAGCTGAATATTTTTGGAAGTAGTTTTTAGTTTGTTTTTAGTTTTAGCTATGTTAGGGGGATATCTGTGTGCAGGTGACTATTACTGTGCATAATTATTAGGCAACTTAACAAAAAACAAATATATACCCATTTCAATTATTTATTATTACCAGTGAAACCAATATAACCTCAACATTCACAAATATACATTTCTGAC